AAAAAAATGAGGGATAATAGAAGTCATGATCCTTCTCGTAAATTGTTGAATTAAAGGGTTTGAAATTTCTAAAGTTATGCTGATGGAGAATAAATGTTGCTGGTTCATGTACCACGGAAATTATTGGATATATGTTTTTTGTTTTTCTTTTGCCAACAAATATTAGGCCTAATTCATCTAATCAAACATTATCATTTGTATGTGAGAATAAAATAGCACAATAGTACTGTACATAGATTAAAGATGAGGAAAAGAAAAACCGTGTTTCCACACCTTCTCTCTCATCCAGCTGACATTTTTTTTTAACTTTTTAAACATATACATTTTAAAAGTAAAAGATGAAAGATTTTAATATTATAATAATATTAAAATTAAAATTAATTTTTATTTTTTATATAATTAATAATAAAAAATATTAAGACAAATTTAAACTTAAAATGTAACAAATTTTTTAAAATGAAGGTTAAATCTTTAAATTTGGTTCCTGAATTATTGTATGAACTTACGATTTGGTTCCTAAACTAAAAAAATCTTCAATTTGATTTCTGAACTATTGTACGAATCCCGATTTGATCCATACTGTTTACCAATTTGCTTCAAGAAGGTTTTTTTACAAAAAAAAAAACTGACGTGTCTCATTATTAATGTGACACGTAACCGTTAAGTTATTATTTTTTGTTATTAAGTAACGGACATATTAACTATTTTTTTGTACGAAAAGATCAACTTGAAAGGTAAATTAATAAACAGTAAGGATCAAATTAAGTATTCGTACAATAATTTAAAGATCAAATCAGAAATTTTTTTAATTTAATGACCAAATCAAAAATCTATATAATAGTTCAAGGATCAAATTGAAGTTTTAACTTAAAATGAACGAAGGGTATACTTAATTCACAATCAATGCAGAATTCTTAACAAATTGAAGATAAAATGGCCCAACTGTTCATGCACCACGAGTAACATGACGACTAGCTAATGTGCATGCACCGGAAGACCCCAGCTTGACTGTCGCA